TGTTCCCATCAGTTTTATTCCACGTTCTCCCTCCACCCATCCCTGCAGAAAGCAGTCTTTAACTGGGTGCACAAAAAGATTTCATCAGCAACTTCCAGGAAAGCCAGAATTGATTTATATCCACTGGGGAATGAACCAGATTATGTTTAGCTTTAGTCCCCTGTTTCAGAAACGACGTTATGAATAATCCTTTTATGTTCCTTATATAAATATCTCAAATGTATAAAACCAAGGAGAGGAGGGAATTCATTAAGGTGGTCCAGGGGAATATTGCTCTGAGAAATAAGGGACTGCTTATGAGAGTCAAAATGACCTTATCCCATTACTTTTACACAAGGAAAGAGCCAAGGGGAAACTAAATACAAGGAAATCTTACCAAGAACTGCTACGTATTAGTTTGTGGAAACATATTCTTAAGGAACTCATGGGAGCATTAGTGTGTTAGTCTGCCATACAAAACAGACGACAGCGATTCTTCTGTATCTTACTGCAAAATGCCCAATCAGCCAGGTCCAAAGTCTGGAATCAATAGTAATCTTTCAATAGAGCTCAATGGACTTAAGGGCAGGCCCCATGTGTTTAAGTTAAATAAAGGGCAGAAATAGCGAGTCAAAATGTGACATGGGCAGTGATTGTAAGAAACCCCCCCTTATTTTTAAGGGGCCTATTTAAGCCAAGTTTTTAAGACAAAACAGTGCATGCATGGAATTTCCAGTTCCATTACATCAAGTCACACTGATTTCATCTGGTTACCGTATGCTATTGGCGGGAGTGTAACTTGATGCAGCTCGATGCAGCTTGTGGCATACTGATTTATTACAATTTAAATGATAAAGCACCCAAGAATGTTCAAGCAATTGGACTACTCCATTGACTGGATGCTCAGACATCTATTTTTAGAAGTCAGTCTGTGCAATACTAGATGGACTGGTCCATCGTTACTAAAGGGGTATTTCCCTTATCACACAGTGGCTGCTTACCTGTGTGCTTTATCCTTTCTAAGTGCTTTGTGTAGACCTGGATGTAACAGGGTTTATTCATTGAAGGTGGGACCTTTTCTGGGTCTTGTTCTAAAAGAAAGACTGGACCAGTGAAGTCCAAGTCCAGACTTTAAGGACATTCAGGACATGGCTTCTGGTTTTCCTATGTTTTCTACAGACAGGTATTTCTGAGGAGCAGGAACAGGACTAGAACTTGCCTAGAAGTCTACAGATGCCAAGTTCTTGGTCTGCACCATCCCTTACTCTCATAGATTACCAGCTGGATTCTCAAAGCTGGAAGCTGTTTGGACCCACAGCTCTGGACAGACAGACAGGAAGTGGAAACCCTACATTCCTCTCTTTTGTTTTACAAATGGTTTGAAAGAGGCTACCCGCCAAAGCAGAAATAACCATGAAACTGGAATAGCTCATGCATAACATGGCACAACAATAAAAGGTTGGGCACCACCGCAGTGGATTCTCGAATTCAGCCAAGAAGAGAAAGTGCTAAAATCAACACAAAGGGATCCCATTAGATCGTTAGGGGATGAAAGGCTACTTCCAATCACTTTGGTTTATTCAGCTGGATCTCTTTAGGAATACTGAACAGTCAGGTGTGGTGGCCTAATTCTCTGCTTCTTGTGCTCCTAAGCATGGAATACAGGCTGTGGGTGTGAAGATAGGAAAGGAATTTGATGTGTGTGTTTGGAAACACAGTTATAACTATCAAGGCCATCATCTATCAAATTAGTTCATTTCTTTGATATACACTCAGTTTTGTGATGACTTCACAGATTTGTTCCTGTCTTAACAGCAAATGCCTCACTTCACATGAAAGCAGCAGCAACTTCTGGGAAACAGATTAAATCTAGTTCCAGGCTTCCTCTTGATATGGATAAAAAATGTCTAGGAGAATGGGCTTGACTAATCTCAGCAGGAACAAGACCTCCTGCTGATGAGCTCTTGGTTCAGTGTTTTCACATCTGATCTGACTGTCTCTAGGTCAAAATGATGCCTGGTGGAATTCTGACAATTACATTAGAGTCAGTTAAAGAAGGAATTTCTCCCATTGCATGTGTGGCTTTCGCATCAACTGAAATCCAGCTTTTAGGAAAGAGGCAAGGCTCTGAAGGCAGCAGCTAGAGAGGAAAACCAAACCCAAACAGAACTCAGAAATAAACTTGTTGAAAGAAAAAACACCTGATAAAGTGTTCATTCTTTAAAACACCTCTGCTTTGGCATCTCTTCCAGCAGTGATAATGTTTGGTTTTATAGAAGAAACATAGATGCAAAACAATACTAAAGATTCCAAGAGTTAATTGCTTAGAGACAGCCAGGGGGAAAGTCACTAGAAAGCCTATTACCTTTGCCTCCTGTTTTAGCAGCAAGCAGGGAAAGCTGAAGTCCACACGAAGGGATATTCTGGCTGCCAAAATCCCAAGTTATATTCCCTCATGGAATACCCCTCCCACTTAATCCCCCAATCACAGCCTCCAAACCTCTCTGGGCTAGGCTACATTGGACCACATGGTAAGATTCAAGTTAATGTAACTCTGCAGTCAGTCACTCCATTGACTGCTCTGTTACAGTGAGGGACCTATGAAGTGCAAGGCATCCTAGCATCCCATCTGAGTTACTTGTTTCATATGGCAAAACCCATTTTCAGCTACCACTTAGTTAGGGCATTTCCTGATGCTGCATGCTTCTCCCAGATTTACCTTGTTGGTGTTATAATGGGAGCTAATTGGCATTGCTTGAACCCACGTTTGAGATCAGATGCTGAAGGTGATGAAAGTGGAGCCTGCAGAGGTAGTGTCAGAGGCTGCAAGTCCCCATCCTATACCTAGGCAAGGGGAATTTGTGGAGAGCTAATTTCTTTGTGCCAAAACTCAAGTTTGTTTTGAAATTAGCCTAACATGACTCAGTAACTGTAAGAAAGCAGCTTCCCTGACCAGGATGTAAAATCCTTACACGTGTAAAAGCTACTGAAGCTGCCAAATGTAGCACACTCAAACCTGAACATCTGAAACTGCTTTATGGGTAGGAGTCAACAAGTTACAGTGCACTGCGCTAAGAGCTGTTGGAGGCACAGCTTTATCCCTCTGCTGCTCTATTACCTATATTTGAGGGGTCTTCATGGAAAAGGCTGCAAAGGAAACATTTTTAACCTAAGGGTGCATTAGGCAAGGGATCGCAGGCACTGTGATTTATGGCTGCGGTAATGGGCTGGATCTCAGCAAAGTGAAATCCAATTATCAGCTCCGCTGTCTCAGGCAAAACGCTTAAGCCAAACTTTCTAATCAGTGCCTTTAGGTTGGGTTGATTTTCAGAGGCACTAAGCCCCTCCCCACCCCGTAAGCTCTGTGTAGAGTAACAGACCAACACAAACCAGTACTGTACTTGGTATATTTTCCCTGTAGTTGGGTTGAGAATGAATAGTTTTACCCCACGTTACCAAGAAAAAGAAACCGCAGGAAGGAGGACACAGAGGTTAAAAGTCTGTAAGATAAGGGATTCGATTCTCTGCCTGTGGTTTTTCTCCCTCATGTGAATAAGGACCAGGAACATTTCCATACCCACCTCACAAAGGGGCTTGTGAGAGTTAATTCAGCTCCCTGCAGAAAGTGCCTTGAGATCCACAGATGGAACTTGCTGTAGAGGTGATGCATTACTGAATAATGACGTATGATCGTATGTGAACAAAACACACTCGTGTATCGCTCCATATGTTTTATAACATTAAGCCCTGTGTTGTTTTCCAAACAGACAGATACATTCCAACCTGGAGAGGATCAAACACATCCCAGAATATTTTGTCTTTTTATTTCAGAGGTGAGGAGATGGTTCCAGCAACATCGTTGTCTCTTTTTGTCTACTGAAACCAAAACAGGGGTTTATTTAAGGACAGGAGTGGGGAAAAGAAGGAAAGGTTTTACACAGCATGTGCCAAAGGAACGTAACTTCCCCCTGGACATCTGTCCTTGAACAACAGGGGAGACCTTGGAGTTTACATCTCAGCTGAAAAGATAAATGTGGAAACACGCTTCCCCCACTGCAGTTTCAAGTCTGGACTTGGACAGATCCCTCAGGAAAAATACTACTTTAAGCTTTGCTTCTGCCACTGGAGTCTCCTGTTGCCTATCTCCAGCTCGCAGTGAACTTGTACCAGCTACACGTGCTCTAATATGGAGTCCTCCATGCAAGCACAGTAGATAGGGGTTTGGGGAATTTGGGGAAGGCCTTCCTAAAATAGGGAGTGAGGGGAAAAAACTGGACCAATTTTGTTTGCCTTCACCATGCCAGTTTGCATGCCATGCTGGTCCGAAAATGAAGCATTTGGCTGCCTGAGGAATACGGGGACTTTAGCTTCTTATTGAATACTTTTGGCAATTGTACCAAAATGTCATGTTTTTACTGGGTTTTGATGACTATTTTTAACGCTTCTATTCATATATTCCAAGAGGAACTGAATGCTGACGTAAAGACAGCAAGCAGAATACCATTAACTCAAAACCAGGGCTTTCCTCCTCCAATTATTTTCGGCATCGTTCAGAGTCCACATTATGCCCCCAAACCACACCTGGCTGTTAGGTCACATGGAAAAAGATCAGAGGGGGTTGAAGGAGAACAGGAATTATGCCAAAGCTGTGCTGTTATTACCGAATCACCTATGAAACATAGGAGAGAGAAACAGAGATTTCATGAGGTTTTAGTGCATTTGGGCTCTCAACAGTGAGATGCAACACATCCTTCAAATCACCTTACCCTGCCAGATAGTCTTGAAGTGGAAACACAACCGAACAAAAGGTTTGAAGGCAAATTTTGATCTAAGTGTGCAATGTGCTCCATGAGCCCACCAACCCTCTTCCCAAGATGGCACTCTCCCCCCATCCAAGCCCCAGGATGAACCCAGCAACTCCATCCTCTTCTCAAGGGAACCAGGTGCTCTAAAAGCAAGGGATACCCTGGGGGAAAGGGGAGAAAGGGGTGGGCAAATGAGACAAACACACTTGAAGTAACTGATTTACAGATTCACCATTTACTGGATTCCTTGTGAATAACCAAGGATATTCTTTGCAAGTTCAGACATGATACAAGCACACATGCACAGGGAAACCAAAGTCCACCGATTGTTTTTTGATCCTTTCCATTTTTTGTCCTTTCTGGAGAAGCTGGAATCCGGGTGAGTCTCAGCCTTTATCCAGAAATGAGTTCATGCACTGAAAGAGGACTCTTCGTGATCCTGAATGTCTGATGCTTCACAGCATTTCTTGCATAATTCACCTTAAAAGTGGAGTTACCAGCAGGGCAGTCAAGTGAGAAGCATATAATGGCCTGTGATCATCAGACACAGCTTCCAGGGAAGGGGAGCCATCGGTTCAGCTTCTTGTAGTAGTAGCCAGAGGGAGCTGTTTGGAGACTTCTCCCAGGAGCTGACTTAGCGTATCCTCCTCTTTGCCATAAAGGACACCAAAGGGCACCCCTTCTGTCCTGTCTTCCAAAGGCATACAGCAGCAAACAGCAGCAAGTTTCTGGCAGCGTGTTGGATGTCTGACCATGAGAATCAGCAGCAAGAAGCAAACTGTGCCAGAGCAAATCGCTCCTTGTGCCTCAGAAGCCCAAGCCATCCTTCAACAGTTGCTGCTGGAGGCTACCCCTTACTTAAAGGATAGCATCATGAGAAGCACATATTGCACAGCAAAACCTATGCTCACCCTTTTATGCCTCCCACCCCTTAAAGAACATACAATATATATTCAGTGTACCATCAGCCCACTGCTGCAGGTGGAGCTCTGTGAGGACGACACAGTCGACCACGGATACAAAGGCCAGCAAATAAATGATTCTATAAGTGTCAGACATTTCAGTCTAGGACATTAGAGATTCATTGCCCACACTGCGGCAAGAGCTGTTAAATTAACCCAATCTCAGTAGTCTCAGCCTTCCACAGTCACTTGGAGTACCATATATATCAGAGACTCATTTAGCATCTTGAAAAATACCCTTTCCTTTAACTGATTATAATGTCCCTGCACATCAAATACAGTTGCCAGAGCATTGAGTGAATGACAAAAAGAGACAAGAGTAAAAATAGCTTACAGAAGTAACATGTTCTTTCATGATTACATCTGGGGGTACACAAGAGGGTCTCCTGGCATGCCAGTAACCTTATTCACAGCCTGGAAAGTTCCACAGAGGAAGAATGTAATACGATTAAGTACAGCAGCCCTGTAAACCAGGACACATGAATTATTGCTTTGCAAACTATGTGCTGCACTTCCTTGGGCAAATCACTTTTAGGTGCCTTTTCCCCTCATATTCCCTCAATCTACCTTGTATAAATCAGTCTCCATCTCTTCTGAGCAAGGGAAAATCTCCTTCCATGTACTAAGGACACTGACTGCACATTCAGAGTGAGCCTGTAAGTTCAACCTTACGTGCATAACAAGTAAATTACAAAGCATAGCATCTTACCCCACCACATTACTTGTCTGGGTAGTCCATGGAGTCAATATGCACCATAACTGTAACACAGGAGTAAAGCTCTGTTTGGGCCCAGAGTAAAAGCAAGAACTAGTGCTGTATATAGAAGACTGATACACATCCCCTTCCATTACTGAAAGGATGAGCTGCATGCTGATATTTTACTTAAAGGATAAAGTAACCCTAAATATTATCAAATATGAAGGCAGTAAGTTACAGTTTGTAAATGCATCACACGAGCTTGTGGATACATTTAGATCAAAGGAGCATAATGAGATACTCTGAATAATATTTGATAAGCCTAATTAATGAGAACATGCCCAACAGAGTTTTCCAGTAGTAGTACCAATGCCCTGCAGGTACTTGTCCATGTTCCTCTGCATAGGATGGACAAACTTGCATTGTGCTCATGAACATACAGAGTAATTGATTCCAGCTCAAAACCTCATGGATGTAGGGGAAAAAGTGTCTGCATGGCATGATGGTTATAGTCATCCTACTGAAGACCTAAAACAAGACCCCAAATTCCTACTGAAGACCTCAAAAATGGAGCTCTTCCCATTTGTACCACTGGAAAAGAAGAGGATGCTCTGGCCTTGAGATGAGAGCCCACACTAAATCAGAGGTGCCAGACCCCTCCTAGACTCTGCCATGCATTTCTCAATGTTGAGAAAAGCGGAACACAGGCAATCTAGGTTCCCAATTAACTCTAATAAAGATCTCGGACTCCATCACTCATTCACCAGCTCCGAATCAAAATGAGTCAGCCGCATCACAATCAATCCAAGAATGGCTCCTACCTCATAATTTAATCTTTGTAATGGATCGCTTATAATAGATCTGGCTTTCCCGAAGCTATGATCTTGTCCTCTATTACTGACTAAGATTGAAAATTCCAGCTACACATATTCCCTTCCTCTGAATATCTCATCACCTTAAGCAGAAAATATTATGTTGAGAAATAGCCCAATTAAACGTGCAACTATCTGTAACCTTTTGTGTTCCTGTATCAGGTGGTGAGGCAGTAGCAACACTGGAAAACACAGGATCTTTGGGAAATGTAGCATATTATTAGATTTGATGAGATCCATTTTCTTGATGGCTTCTGAAAGATCTTTGAGCTAATTAGCTAAGAATACCACTGAATTATTTAATTATCTCTACTTTTGTGCAATAAAATATGTTGTCATATCACACACTCTATCTTGCTGTTGCTGTTCAGACTTAATGATGCCTTTATAGTTAGCGATTTCCTTTGTTCTCCCTCTGCAAGTGGGTTTTGGTGGTGCTGGCGAAAGGGGGGGGGAAGCAGAGAAGGAAAAATACCAGGTTTAAAATGAATTCTTATGGGTGGGAAAAATCTTGCCATGTGTTTCTCTCTAGCTCCAGTTCCCTCTGAAATAGGCGAAACACGCTGCGATGCCACAGCAGACCCACATACTTCTTGCTAATGCAACAAGGAATGCTTTCCAGAGGAAGAGGAAAGAAAGTATGGCTTCAAGAAATCCTAAATCAGCAAGGAATGTTTTTACCAAGGAAGAGGTAAATTATGATAATTACTCTGACTGGTAGGGTCCTTAAGCATTACTAATTAGCATTTATTGCCTGGATTATTGAAACAATGTGTGTGTTCCCAAGAGCGAAGAAGAACTGGGATGCTCTTTCCTTCTGAGCCCTGGGAACAAGCAAGAATGCGGTGCAGTTGGCAGAGCGGCTCCTCTTCCAAGCACGGTGAGCACCAGCCTTGTGCAGGGCTGCACAGAGGCGCTGGGAAACTTGCACCTTTTGCAAGCCCATGTTGTGAAGTTCTTAACTGTACGGCTGCGTTTCCGCCTCCCAGAGAAGTGACCAAAATCAGGGCAGCACAAAAGGAAAGGGGCCCTTTAAAACAGTCAGAATCATTGGACAATGGGTCAAGCTGCAGATGAACATTTACCTTAAACTCTGCGTGCTGCAGTGTTTTCTATTATTACTGGGGTTATATGCAGACCTATTATGAATTCACATTTCATTAAAGTATGGAAGTCTGGCCAAAGAGACTTCATGACACACAAAGAGTTAATAAATCCAACAGAAAATACAGAGGTTATGCCATTTCCAGCTAGCATTTTGACTGGGTTAATGTGACTTTGTAAGGAGGCTGCAAGCAGCTTTCAACACAAGCTACATTTTAATATCAAGGATTTATCATGTGAAGTTTTGATTTAGAAATCAACTAAAATTAATATTTTAATCAGCACTAGCCACTACATAAGTATTTGAACTATAATTTGGTATTTGGCCCAATAAATCTTTTAAGTGCTTTGGAAATGATTCAGGCAAAAGAGACAGTGAAAGTAGTCTCCATTTTTTGAGCTGCAGTGCTATGCAACTTTAGGTGCTATTAAACCCCATTGGAATAAAAGAGCAACAATGGCAAACTGCAGAATGCCTTGGACCTTTTTTACCTTTTACTGCCACCAAACCCCATGCCTTTCAACTTGGGAAAGCAAGTTCCAGCTAAGCTACAACGGGGTCAAAGCCACAGAGCTAAATGCCACAGTTGCTGCTCAGACAGAACTCCTGGGTGCCAGAGTTTTGCAGAATTAAGGTTGTTTTTCTTAAAAGAGCAATACTTAAAAAATCACGTTTTCTGTTTGGTTTTCCCCTTTTTAATCATCTGCAGCACATACTGCACCGAATGCTAGGGAATATTGCACGGAATGCTTGGGAATGTGCTATATTAAATGCATCTTAGATGCAGTTTTAACTGAAACTAGCCTCAGTCTAGTTATTCTTTTTTACTCTGAATAAGACCTTCAATCCTCACTAAGGCTGACCTGCTTATTCTATTTATTAAGTAAAATTAATGCCTCATATTTATTTTCTCTCCCATTTTCCTCTTCAGATAAAAATAAAGGTATTTCTGGCCGCAGCTTCTTTTTATGCCAAGGAAAACGTACAACTGCAGAGCCTGATGAAATGAGCACTGAAGGAACTATGTAACGCGAAGACAAGAAAGCCTCGTAGCTACATGTAATAAGGCAAAAAAAAGAAAACCAGAACGCCAATATCCCCTTCTTTTGTGTGCCAGGAGGTACAAAACGTTGCAGGAGTAGTTCTGGATTGATTTACGTTTGCTTACAGGGAAAATTATTCCAACTGGATATTTATAATGCAATTAAGTTTCAATAACGCTGACATTTCTTCAGATCACACGCACAAATCTGGCAGAGGAGCCCCACTGAACCTGCCTGCCCTGTGCTCTGAGTTCGCGGTAGGCTGGGGAAGCGGGGCGGGGGGGGAATGCGATATTCCAGTTATTATTCCCTCCTTTTCTTCTTGCGAGAACCTCGCCTTCCCCACTAGGAAAGGCGGAGGGGGGGGGCAGTTTGTGCTTTCCCTCCTTATTTTAATCCCTGCCAATTGTTGGGTTGGGTTGGGTCGGGTGGGTGTCCCCCCCCCCCCATTCGATTCCATTTCATCCGCTCGGCGTGTCCCCAGGCCCCGGCTCCCTCCAGCCGCGCTGTCCCTTTAAGCCGCCAGCCCCCCTAATTGATGTGTCTGGGCGAGTCTAGACTGGCAGTGATTGAACCAGCTCCCAATTATGCTCCTCACTGCGCCGGAGCGGAGCTGAGCGGGGCGCGGAGCGGGCCCTGCCCCCGCCCATTGTTTTGCCGCAGCCCCGCGCAACCCCCCCCCCCCCCCCCCCGCACCCCCCTTTTCCTCCGCACCGCTCCGCACCGCTCCGCACCGCACCGCGCAGCACACAATAGCGGTTCTGCAGGCAGGGAGGGAGGAAAAGAGGTCGGGGGGGTTGTGGCTCCGCGGATGCGGAAGGGGGGTGCGGGCACTGCCGGGGCCGCGCAGGGCTCTGCCTCCGGGAAGGGCAGAGGGAAAAGCATCGCGGGGTGCAGCCAGTCCCTTGCAGACAAAGCGCTCCCCGCTTCCCTTCGTGGAGTGGGGGGGACAGCGATTAAAAGCAGCTTCAAGAGGGGGGGAAAAAAGGGGGGGGGGGTAGTTTTTGCCTGTCTCCGAGGTGGAGATGCGGCTGGACAAAGGTGGTTGGGTTCTCCCGTACCGTGTTGTGATTTCTCATGGCAACCAGGTAACAGAAAATAAAGGCAATGCAGAATTAAGTTTCTCCCTTTGGAATTAGAGGGCGTGCAGAATAATGTACAAATTCAGAAGTAAAAGGCTTTTTTTTTTCGTGGAGGTAAAATAGTCAATGAAATTACAGTGTCAATAAAAAAGGCTAAAATCAAAATCAAGCAACCTTTTCCAGTTCAATAACTATTAAACAACGGGAACCATCCAACACATCCTAAAGCTCTTAGATCCCAAAACGCTACACCGTTTTTGGTGCATTGTGTTTTAAGTTCAAGCATTTGCATTCAAATATTAAACAGTAATTCAGTGCCATAACAAGGTACAGTAACTCCATTATAAATTGCCTTTGCACAACAGCGATAAGAAATACAGTTCCAACCATAATTCATTTTACAGCAATATAAAAATCTAATAAAGAAACACAGCAGCAGGAAACAGTTTGAACATTTCTGATTTGCCATTTACATAGAACGTGGAGTGGAAAAGCAGGAAAGGTTGAAGCTCTAGAGGAGGACTGAAAACTTCAGCATTCACCCAGCGTTTCTTTTCAGCAGTTTCCAACCATTAGTACATGCAACCATTTTATTTCTGTAGCTTATTTTGGACCTATCGGTCCATAAAATCCAACCCGGCTCCTGCCTTTTTTATTTCTTTTTTCCCTTTTTTTATTCTTTTCCCCCCATTTTTTCCTTTTTTTTTTTTTTTCGCATGTGTGTGTCCATAGAGCACATTTCTAAGATTAATCGTTCAGTTTTAAACTTGGGAGCACGAGGCATGCTGGGATTTCAGCTGAGGTCAAGCACCAATGTACCGAGCTGTTACTGTTACGCTCTCAGGGTACTCTGTGTTGCTCTCAAGAAGGAGGGGGGGAGAAGCAAAAAAGAGGAGAGAGATGCTCTATGCAGTGGCCTGCAGGCAAGGCAAATCTCTCTCCGTATGAAAACAGAGGCAT